AAGGTTGCTTTTTAAGTCCACGTCTTGCCTCTTACCGGGACTACAGGACAGCGTGGAGCACAAAGTAAGTTTGAGGCAGTGCTAATGTGGCAGGCACAGGCAGCTCCTGCAGCCCACAAATGCGCCTCTGATCCTGGGATGAAACGTGAGTGGAAAGTAAAACTGGCGAGACATAAAGGAGCAGCTCTGAATAACACGCTATATCAACGGACAAATCACTTCGCCTCAAGCAGTTAAAGTGGGAAAAAGAGGATATCCGCAAAGTGTCTGACATTTAGGATAAAAACACAGCCCCACCGCTCAAACCCCGCTCTGATAGAAAAATGGTCCAGAGAGAAACGGACCCCACAGCATGGCTGAATAAAGCTTTCGGGTAGCCAATCCATTAGTGATGGAGGGTCCCTTATTTATTTTATCTGTGCAGGTCAGCTAAGCTGCAGCAGGCTATTCTGCTGATTTGCCTTTAATATGAAAAAAAAAAAATCAAACACCTCAGTCAAAGTCGAACTGCAATCCATTTCGTAAATCTGAAGCGGGATACAAGCTGGAAACTGGTGCACAACACACCAAAAAAGTGCTTTGTATTAGTCCTCCCAGGTATTTTGCAGTGGAAAAGAAGGGAAAAGTGATTTTTCTTTTACCTTGTAAGATGTTTGTATTCCCTAAGTTGATGAGAATGTCAGGTAGAGATAAGGAGAGAATCACAGTCGCAGTTTTTAAGCTGTGGAGCCAGAATAGAGACGGGTTCTAGTCTTGTTTCCTCAGCCGCTGCGCGTTCCTCTCCGAGAGACCTGCAGCCGACAACTGCGCTCTCTCTTCTTTACCGTCGGACGATACCACCGGGTTGGGGGAGAGCGGGGAGGAGTGGAGGATTGGGGTTGGTGAGGAGGGTGGGGGGGTAGTAAGAGGCCGATTTGCAAGCGCAATCGGAAGGAACATACGCACGGACACCCCAGAGAGCAAGAAGAGTGTCGCAACACTGCCTCTGTCCAGTGCAGAAACAGCCGCACCGAGTTAAGAAAAGACCAAAGAGATTTTCTGTGAAAGGTTTGCCCTGCGTGTTGTTGTCTGGGATGCAACAGCAGCCTACCTGCCGTCGGGGTAACCGGGCAATAAAGGTCCACTGGGAATATGAGTGTGTCCCTGCTTTGCAAGTAAACAGCGAAGCTTAAACAGGGAACACAAGTTCTGGTTATACACTTTTCTGTTTTGTTACCACTCTGGTCTATTTACATTCCACAAGCCTAAAATTTACAGGAAATTCTTAGCTGTCTTAGGCCAATTACAATGGCAGCAACCAATACATGCAAATAAAAACAAACAAACAAAACTTTTCAATTTGTTTACTACTGAATTTCAAGACGGCAATAAGGATAACATCAGAGCAAGTCAAAGTCCATTTTAAAAACACTGTCATTCTATGCTGTAGATGTGTTTTCTTTAGTGTCAAAAAAGACTTGATGGGCACATCCGAAAGAAACACTTGTTTATAGATCATCGCTGCTCTATTCTATTCTATTCTATTCTATTCTATTCTATTCTACTCTTCACTGATGTATATGGATTAAACTGGGTGTTTGATTGGCCCCTTTTTTATCGTTATACAGTTTGTTATCACTGTAGCAATTTTCTACAATTCTCCACATCTATTCTGTTCTATTATATTTTATTCTATTCACTTTGCGCCAAACGTTGCTTAAATCAGATGTTGTTGAGCACATTTCATCAAGCTAATTTTTCATCAAGAGTGGAAGTCCAATTGATAAAGAGCTAATTAAGATCCTTTCAATCACAAGCCAATTTACTAATTAGCCCCTCGTGTAATTAATTGTCCTTCAATATGTCTGCATTATAACTACAGTTCTTACACTCGGTGCTAACCTGTGTGTGTGTGTGTGTGTGTTAGGGGGTGGGGGTAGCAGGTGCAATAGCTCCCCCATGACTTTTGCTGCCTCCCCCGCTCAGGACTACATTTCCCAATAACCCTTGCGCCCTGCTCAAGAATCCGTGGAAAAGCGAATGCGCCTGCGTATCCAGACGTGGCAACGGCATCATGGCCTCTTGGAATCGCTACGGGAGTCGGATGAGAGAGGCGAAAATGTTAACGTTGGTGTTGCTGGTGAGTCACACGAACCTCTTGTGCGTTTCATTTAAAGTGCGTCGCTGTGCTCCGGTTTGTGCCATCCCTCAGTGCAGAAGAGAAATTATTATTTTTAAAAATAAATCTAAATCGCTCCTCCTCTCCGCGTCTTCTAGCCTGTCCGTGCAGGAGGGAAGTTGACAGCCCTTGACTGAACTTGGTGCCCAGATTTAAGCAGCTAGTCATAATAATAAGGGGGCACTGCGGTGTGTGTGGCGCAGGTATTATCACTGGATTTATTTATGTGGCTGCCCGCACTCAGCGGCGTCTGGCCGGCGGTCGCATGTGCACACACGGGGTCCCTCCCCTGTTTCTAAACCGTAAACCGTCCGGTAAAGTCCGGACAACCGGGGCTCCTCAGATAGCTTTCCTTTCTGTCACAGCTTATGCTGCACATGCCGCTTTTGTTGCACTCACCGTGTTAGACTTACACTCCACGGTCGCAGCTCAGCAGCCCATTCATTTCCACTCTTACGTGGAACTGAAAGTTGCAAACTGAAGTGACTTGCACAGCGCGGGTCTGGCTGTTGACCACTGACTGGCAGTTGGGGAGCATGCAGCTCAAGTGCGCGTTGGAAGCAGGACAGTAGGCTGTGCAGTCTCCCTCCGTGTGGCGTGACGTGTCACAACTTATTCACGTGCCCTAATTTAATTGTATCAAACAGGAAATATGTTGACTCTTGTGCACTTTAATTCAGGATAAGAAAACTCGTGATTCTAACTTGGCCTTGCTCGGTAAAAGGAGAGATCATGGGGAAAACTGCCTGTGAATTTGTCACAGAACTCAAAACCTTCACAGAGCAGAGATGCCAAACTCATTTTACATTTTGGGCCACGTACAGCCCACTTTGATCTTAAGTGGGCCAGACCTGTGAAACTCCTCTGTCTGTCAGTGTGAAGAAGTTTAGCTACACATTTAATCCCCGAGATATTTTAACATAAGGAACGGAAGAACTTTCAGCAGTACATCTCATGACGTGTTCATTGACAGATTGTCCTCTTCCTCCCACTGTCAGCCCATTGTAAAAGCCAAAGGTTTCTATTGTTGACAGTGGAAGAACAGGACATTGCTGTCATTTGATTGTTTGTCTATTAATTATTCACTTTAGTGTAGCATGAATGGAGGAGCTCAGTAAAACATAAGAAACTACAGTTAAAAGTCTAAAAATGGATCCCCTCCTTCACATTTTCCAAAGCTGTCCAGTGGGCCAGATTGGAATCTTTAGCGGACTGATTCTGGCCCCAGGACTTTATGTTTGACACCCCTAGCATAGCGTAAGTGAATCTTTGGTGTTTCCATGCGATTAATGATCTTAAATAAGCATTAACAGTAAGGACAGCCCTCCTCTGTAGGTGTTCCTGGAGTCACACAGAGCTTTATGTCCGTGAAGTTTGCTGGGACACTCGCGTGTGGAGCCCAAGGACAAATGAAGATTCTTCGCTCTGTAGACATAATTACATCCAAGACACACAACAGGGACACGGCTTCTAAAATGTTAGACTAAACAAAAGTGTGTTAAGAGGTCAGATGTGCTGCTGTAACTGCTTAAACTTCAGGAAAAATCTACACTGATCTGCTCCAGTTGATTTTCCTATTGCAGAGAGATGATAAATGGAGGACAATAGTTCCCCGGAACTCTGGGAAGATATCTTAAATTAAATATAAGCCTGCAAAGTGTACCATAATAACGAAGGTAAAGTGTGCGAGCGCCCTTTAAACAGTAATCGGTTCATTGTCTCAGCTCTAAAAAGCGAGCTAGCTCTGTAATGTGGAGCGACATTCGTGCCGCTTTAGACCACGGTTACTGATGCAGACCTTTTCCTGCTCTGCTTCCTGTTGTGAAGCAGCCTTTCGCACACAAGGGTGGTGATTGGGTGTGTGTGTGTGTGCAGTACACTCTGTATGTATGCATTTGACAGTGATACTGTGTGACACGTTGGCACCGTGCCACAGCTCTTGGGAGTAAATAGTGACTGTGCTGTTCAAGCGCTGTAATTTTACAGCATTTACATCCACAGCAGAAACATGGAGTCAAGTTATTCAGCTGGTGTTAATTATTAAAACAGGACAAAAATCAAATTTCTTCAATTTCGACCT